AAACATATGTTTTCTATCCCCTTTATGATTAAAAGCAGATACTAATGTGTTAACAGTGTAATACAAAACACCGATGTTACTGCTGTTCTCGCTTTCATCTCAAGCATGGAAACCAGCAACAGCTTCAAACAACAATAAATTAGGGACTTATTGTTTATTACATTTGTGCAAGCTTTTTCAAGCCCTTACATTTCCATGTTTACATTGATATGAGTTATATAATTCCTGTTCTACTTTGTTCAGTGGTTCTCATTTAATTGTAGGGTAATATATGTGTGTTTTTTGGCACCGCATAAAGCAATAAGAGTAAAACTGTAATATTTCTAATGTGAATTTGACTTTTTTGCTATTTGATCAAATAACCGAGGACAATGTTTACACTAATCTTTAAGTTGTCTTGTATTATACTGTACATTGTTTTCTTTTATGTTTCTGTGTTATTCTTGTGAAAAGGTGAATGTATTTTTGTACATAAATATATTTTGTATAACATGACTGGATGAATGGAGAGTGAGGAGTGAATAAACAAGTTATAATATAATCTCTTGCTTGTAAGCAGCGTTTTCTTTATTTCAAAGTCATTCAAATGCAATAAACCTGCAACTGTTTCTGAATTAAATAAGGGCCAAAGTTTAAACTCCAGTCATAAAGATTCTTTACATAAGCAAAGAAATGCATCTAATCAACATTCCCCCAAAAAACAATGTAGAGGGAACTAAATGCTTTTCCCAATGAGTTTTCCAATTTCCTGTTAACATATAACTATGCCTTCTATTTACATTTATGAGCAGACTGAGCTCTGGTTTCAGACAGAGGGTGAAAAGAGGTGCTGCAGCACAGGCAGTATGAGAAAAATTAAGAGCTTTTTGAACATTAAAGCATGGAACATGTCACAGTAGAGGCACTAAATACTAATATGAACTTGGACCATGATCACCATTATGTCCTCTTTAAAGGTCCCCTATTATACTGTTTCTCATCAATATATTATAGGTCTCAGTTGTATACAGAACGTGGGTGTTTCTCAATGTCGAGGACGCTTCCTTGGTAGGACTAGTCTTCCGAGTCACTTCCTTCAGAAGCGAGGCAAGAATCCTTCCTAGTCTCGGAAAACGAAGAATTGTGGAACAGGCTAACAGGTGTGCGTCATATGCGAGGCCCCGCCTTAAATGGAGCGTGATTTCCGCCAAAGATTTGGAAATTGGTCCGTGCGCAAAGCATTGTGGGGATTTTAAGGCCGCGGAGGATACACATGTGCAGCCTCAACATTTCTCGTTACGAAGGATGCCGGGCTCGGTAGAATTCCAAGGAGCCTGGACAATGGAACAGTCCTTCGGCGGGACTCCATGACGTAGCATCCTTGAAATAGTGGCTCTGGAGCAGCCTTCCTTGACATTGAGAAACACCCCATGTCTCTGAAGTGTTTGGCTCCAAACACCAAACAGATCATTGCAGCATCCCATAATCCCCTCTGTTTCAGCCCTGTTTCCAAGTGCTGATTCTCTGTCTTTTACTTTAGATGAAAATAAGGAGCCCCTCCCCACGCCGCTCTGAGAGAGATTTGGTTAAAAAACACAATGGTGCTCTAGGAGGAGATTCAGGTGATAAGGGGGGGGGGGGGTACCTTGGTTGGTGATTGGCTAATGGTGTCACAAGCCAACACATCGTTATGACATCATAAAGTGGCCAAAATCTGATCAGCTCATTTTCAGACAGGTTTTTAATAAAAGGATCAGGACAAAAAGTGAGAGAATCTTTTCTCCTGAAACTTTCAGAATCTTTTTACACAGAGGGGACACATGTGAAAAGGTGGATTTTGCATAATAGGTGATAATCTTTGGCTTCTCTAACAAAATATGTCCTCTTTAAGAAACCTTGTTTGAATAACACAGATTATGATGTAAATTCAAGACGTATACCTAGTATACGTAGATCCTGTTCATGGAATTTCCCAAAACCATCTCACTGAAAATATATCTGAAAG